ATGTCCTCGATGGCACCGTAATACGTGGCAGTTGTTCCATCGTGTCCCATGGTATCGACACGAACAGCGCTGTTTTGGTTCGTGCTCTTCATGTCTTGGGCTCTCGTGTAGAATGTGTACCCATTGATCTCATATCCCTGGAATGTCGCGATCGACCCAGACGGTCCCCTCGCCAGGAAGGCAAGTTGTTGGTTGATCGACTCGTTACCCATGAGATGTTGTCGTAGCCACGCGGGGAAAGTATCAATGTGATGCCGTGTAATCCATGCATCGGACTTACTGATGTTCCTGGCGCGAACTAGAGCCAAGTGCTCCTCGATGTAAGGAGCTACCAATGAAGAGTGTTGCAGAACAGTGAAATGGGCTTTACGGAATAAATTGTTGTCTACCGTCATTATTGCTTTCCTTCCGAGAGTTCCCTTTCCCCGTAGTCTCCCTTCATGGCGTGATTCAGGTACCCCGATTGGGCGAAGGTCTTCGATAAATTCTACGCAAAATTCGATGACCTCCTCTGTTCCATAACCCTTGGCGATGCTTGCCTCTGGACGAGCACGGTTACGAACATACTTCTTCAGAACGCCCATGTACCTCTCGAAAGAAAACATGTTGTGTAGGTACACAGGCCCGAGAATACTGATCTTTTTCACAAGGTGACAAAGTAGATGCGTCATTATATTGAAAAATGAAGGTGGAAATATCAACTCAAAACTGACGAGACATTGCACCACTTCATTCTGAAGGGCTTCTAATCTATCCGGATCGATGACCTTCTGCGAAATTGCGTTCATGAATGCACATAGCTTTGTTATTGTTGCCCGGACATTGTCTGGAAGGATACCCCTTATTACAACTGGTAGCAGTTGTGTCATCAACACGTGACAGTCATGAGACTTTAGGTTTGTGAACTTCTTCTCCTTCGTGCTTATTATTCGCTTGATATTCGTGGAGTATCCAGACGGTACCTTTATGCTCTCCAAGCATTCAAACATACTTTCCTTCTCTGCCTTGCTAAGAGTGTAGCTGGCTGGACTCAAGTAATGGCTTCCTTTCTCCTTTGGTTCTGGGTGAAGGTCGCCGCGTTGTTCCATATGCTTCAGATCATTACGTGCTTCCAGTGTATCTTTCGACTTTCCGTATACACCTAGGAAGCCAAGAATGTTTACGCAAAGGTTCTTAGTGAGGTGCATCACGTCGATTGCGTGGCGTACGTCCAAGAATTCCCAATATGGTAACTCCCAAAATATAAAGTTCTTTTTCCACATCGCCGCGTGACCATCTTTGCTCTCTATAGGCTGGCTTCCAGGCCCCTTTCCGAACACTACTTTAAGATCTTTAACCATAGCAAACACTGTTTTCCTGCTGCGATGTTTAGGCTTTGTATGGTGGTCGGCCCCTTATGTTCGAAGTGCTTGCCTTTCTTCCGTACCGGGTGGTTTGCTGCAAGGAATCGACGATGACCCATGTATACAACCTTCCTACAGTGCTTAAGATACGTACTTTCTGTTTCATCCATACAGTGAGTGCAAACCTTGTGCCCCTTGTTGGACTGTCCGGATAGGTTGCTAAGTGCAGGCCAATCGTTGATGGTTACGAACAGCAGCGCTCGTAGGTTAAACTCCTCCTGTTTGTCCTCGTCCCACACGGGGACACCTTCCTTCTTCCACAACAGTTTAAGATCTTCGACCAGTGGTCTTAGGTACACATCGATGTCGTTACCAGGTTGCTTGGGGCCTTGAATAATAATCGGCATCATTATGTACTTCCTCTTCATGTATAGCCAGGGGGGAGGTTGTAGATACACATCGTAATGGGCCAAGTGCTATGGCCGCTGCTCATCTCTCCTAAAGGATTCATGCCATTCGTACTCAAACCAAACCGTATGTTTCGTGCATCCTTTCCAAATTCTTTAAATTTTCTGTCGATGTTTCGCCACTGCGAACCATCGGCGGGGTGTCTCAACATCCCGTCCTGTTGACGCTCTTCAGCGTGCCATCGCATCATTCTAGCATTCCCCTTGTTCCTGAACAAACGCCTTAGCCGTGGTATTATAGGGAAATACCACATCACCTTAGCAGGAATTCTCTTCTTTATTAGCTGCCCGTCAACTTCTCCTGGATCGTCTCATCTAATCTTGTATCGTAGTGCTTTGCAAACAGGGCATGCTTCTAGGTTCTCATACTCCTCACCGCGATATAGGATACAATCATTCGGACATGCGTGAATCTTATGAACTTCCAGTCCTAGCGGGCAGACTATCTTCTTAGCCTCGTACGTTGTCTCGGGCAATTTGTTTCCCTCCGGAAGAATATTCTTGACGAGTTTCAATAAATCGCCAAATGCCTTGTCACTAACCCCATTTTTTGCTTTCCATTGCAAGAACTCCAGAGTGGTATCCAACTTTTTGTGCCCCTGCTCGCAACCTGGGTACAACGAAGTTCTGTGGTCCTCCAACATCTTATCCAATTTATGGGCCTCCTTTTCACTTTCGCAGTCCTCCTTGGCGTCCTGCAGCATCTGACCAAGATCATCCGCAACGTCGTTACCATCAGCAGCTATTTCCTCCTCGCCCGTTTGATTTCCTTCAAATCCAACATACTGAGTAAAGTCCGGAATATTGTCATCTTCCAATTCATCTTCTTCCATTTCAACACCTTGCTCTCCGTGGGATGTCCAACAATTATAGCTTGGCATGAACCCCGACTCAAACAAGTGTAAATGAATAGTCCTGGATGCAGAATACTCCTTCTGATTCTTACACTTATTGCATGGACAACAAATAAAACCCCTTTGCCTATTAGCTTCGGCCACTCTCAAAAAATAGTGCACGCCGTCAATAAACTCTTTGGACCGCCGGTCAGCATACATCCAAGGCCGATCCATCTACATGAGTCGAAAAAAACCGTACACAAATAATTATTCTTACAATAATGACAGTCATACAATAATTATAACATAATTACAAACTGTTTCAACAGTCATACAATAATGACATATCTTTATTCATACAAAAATCATAAAATATTACATCAAATAATTCTTATTTACTATTTCTAAAGTTTTAAACTAATTTTAATGTGTTTTACTTCTTTTAATTTTCATTTTAGTTTGTTTTCTATTATTTAAGATTAACTTTCACTAGAGTTTTCCTTCTCAACTATTTTATAAAACCTTCTTTAGCAAATGAACTAAATTTCTATATATTCTTTCTTCCCCACACAAATTTTCTCTCTCATCAACTTACAACTAAATTTTGGAGATAAAAAAGTGTGCAAAACATAGCTGCAAATGTAATATGACAAAAAAAATATTGGAGGATGAAGTTGCAAACCTTTTAGGCACCTCCGATTTGTATGTAATCACCAAAATAAATTCACTATAAATTTTGGCATGACCTCCCCTCTTTTTTGAAGAAATTTTGAAGCTTGCTCGAGCAGCTAGAGGAGGAAGAAGATATATATATAGGGGTGGGACTTTAGTCCTGGTTGGTAACCAACCGGGGCTAAAGATCCCCGGGATCTTTAGTCCCGGTTGGTATTACCAACCGGGACTAAAGTTACCGGGACTAAAGATCCCGGGGGGGGCCTGACATGCCCTGACAGCATTTGAACTGGGACTAAAGATCATCTGTTACCAACCGGGACTAAAGATCAAATATGCCCGTTACCCTTTTGAACCGGGACTAAAGATCATCTTTAGCCCCGGTTTTTATTGCATCCGGGACTATTGTGGAATTCGGCCGACCGACGAAAGATGGTTTCTCCAGCAGTGATCCAATTCCTTAAATTTTATAATGCCAGTCATGTTACCCCTAAAGTAATTTTAAACGGTGGTTATGCGTGTTAAGAAGCTTAAAGAACAATGTGAGAAAACAAGGGGCGGCTATGGAGCAATAAAGTGGCGGGCTGGCCGGCGCCTGGCGGCTATGGAGCGATCGACGACTAGCTAGGCGGCATGCATGAGACTCATTTGAACACATTTGCTTCTACAATCCAAAGTTTGTGACTGTCAACCATCGATAATGCTAGTCAAATTCTTTTGTCGCCCCAACAATGTATCTATGTTGCTGCTTCTCAGTTCTGGCGCTTTTGTCCATTGACTCTTATTTTGTCTCACGTGGCAGGTCCAAAAAATAACAATAGTTGACCTGCCACGTTTTAATAACACACTGCTTCCTTACAAAAATATAGGACTTGCATGTAATAGAAAATTCAAAATTATTTTTAAATTTTAACTAATAATTAAGCCAACATAAATATTTTGTATTATGCATGTACAGTGATACCTTTAGATTCGTACATGAAAATACTTGCAAAACAACAAGCCATCAACTGCAAAATTACAGATGTACAAGCAATTTTATCACCAAATTATATGGAACTGAAAGTTCCACTAGGATATATTACATATAATTTTTGATCAGATGGTACTTCAGATTGATATTTAGCTTTGTGATATGTTCAACACTAAATCCGCAGTTCGATCAAATTTGTAGTTTGTTTATGGTTTCATGGAAGTATCGGTATTTGTTTTGAAATTTACTCATAATGAAAACAATAAATGCGAAAAACATCTTGAGTAGAAATACTAGTTATAATAAGATAGATTACACTACACCATGACCCACTTTTACCAACTAACTTGTGTTGGGAACAAAAGGTAGATTACACAACACATAATTTGTAGTCAAATCTAGCTATGTAGCAATGCCAACATATTATGTGTCGGCGATTCCAATTTTTGTAGACAAATAATCTGTCGGTGATTCATTGGCAACACATGTAGCCGCTAGTATCGGCAAAGATGCATATATCTTCCTTTGCGCGCGGAGGAATTGAAAAAAAATTAGAGTACGCGGGAGGACTTCCGAAGGAAAAAAAAAATTGAAGTACGAGCGCGGGAGGAATAGGGGGTGCGGAGCCAAAACAAAAAAAATAAATAAAATTGAAGTGTACCACCCAACCTTTTCTGCTCCTAAACCCTATATATCTCCTCCTCCCTTCTCCCAAATCCGCCGCCACCACCGTATCTCGTCGCATCCTTGGCCCCATCGCCACCTCCTCTCGATCTCGTTGCCGCCGCACACATCGACCTCAAAGTCCCCAAGGCTCGTCCTCCACACCAGTTCTCCTCCCCTTGAGAACACTCTCCTTCCTCCCCAAACGGCGCCTCAGCGACCATCTCCACATTTTCCCCAAACTCTGCTGGGAAGGTAGTTTCTGCTCCTCCTCCCTCACCCTGGACCCCCCTAGATCTGTAAGAACACTGGGGAAATAAATATTTCATCGATTAAGTCCTACTATGAGATACTAGCTGACTGCAAGTTTGACCCATGAAACACACTCTTTTTTGAAGGACTAGTAGACAAAATCAGGGTTAAGTACATGCATGGGGTTACTGTTGCAAGAACCTAGCTTTGATCATAGAAATCTGGATAGCATAGATATGCATCTGTTACTAAAATGTTACTACAAGTAAACAAGATCTCAAGTTATAAAGCAAGAAAAAGTAGGGTATGTATAGTCTTATGTCTTTACCAAATTTAGTAACTGCAGTTCCTTGTCCATACAAATACTGATATTCTTGACATATAGATAATTAAAATCAAAATCTAGACTTAGTCATGGACTTAGGAATTTGTACCGGAACTCAAGCACAGATTTAATGTATCACGAAGCATAAGAACTATAGCAATTCTGTCAATTAGGTTAGTTTAATAGTAGATAAATCAGCCATCAATTAATAAACAGCATGATATATTTCAAAATTTCTAGAATCACCATATAATTGCATTTGGGTGAAAAGCTGCACATGCTCCTTATAGGAATCTTTTTATTGTTTTCTGGAATAAAGCTGCTTTAAAATTTCAGCGTATGTCAATATCTATAATCAACAGAGGTGAAATAACTGAGGCATGCATGCTGCTATGTCTTGTTTAGGTTGAGAAGACAATGAATTGATCCAACAACTCTGTGCTTTGGTGGACGGGATCCTTGTGCTGGTCTACTTCTTCAATTATCGGTATGATTTCTTTGTTTGCATGAAACCAAATTTAACTATTATGTATCTTCTTGTGCTTGACCTTTTAATTTGTTGATTCATGCTTCACTAATGGCTTGTGATATGATGTGTGGTTGCCCTAATTGAAAACTATAATCCCTTCTAAATAAAAATAAGTTTCATGTTTGCGTCCTTAGATATGAATTAGTTTTGTGATGTTTTTATTTTGTAAAGGTGCAACATGGATAAACAATGGATGGATCTACCTAGATACACCACAAACTCTCAGTTGGAATCATTAGTTAATAGTTTGTGTTAGTATTGTCTCTAAAATTATAGTAACTAATTGCATGTAGGCATACAGATGGATATGTGGAAGGAGTAACCAGGTTTCTAGAATTTGCTTTTGCTAATTCATCAAAGGGGAACTCAATATTATGCCCTTGCAAAAACTGTGGTAATAGTTATTGGACAGAACGTACTACTGTTCGGGAGCACTTGATTTGTGATGGTTTCATGCAATTGTACAGAACATGGTTGTTTCATGGAAAAGAAAGTACTTTTATGCATGACGATGGGGATCACAGGGTAGAACTAGAGAAGTCAAATGAAGAGGATGATATTTCTGGTTTTCTTCAAGATCTAGCATGTGGGTTGGATGAGATGGGAGATTTAGAAGAGAACAATGAGGGGCAGCGTAATGTTGATATTGGGGATTTTTACAAGTTGGTAGATGATGCTGGGCAGGAGCTATGTCCAGGGTGTAAAGACTTCTCAAAGCTTCGCTTCATTGTTAGATTACTCCATATCAAATTTCTTGGTGGATGGAGTGATAAAAGTTTTGATTTGCATCTAGATCTACTTAAGTATGCTTTTCCGGCAAGGACATCACTTCCTAAAAATTACCATGAAGCTAAAAAGTTAGTAAAATGCTTAGGACTTGGATATGTTAGTATTCATGCTTGCGAACATGATTGCATCTGAATGTGCTTGTCAAACTGTAGAAATTATGTGAAACACGGAATGGCAGGTTTATGTGAAACTGTGGATTATATTTACAGGCTAATTACACTTTCTCCAACGAACTATCAGTTGGTGAAAATGGAATGTGTTGGCAAAGGCTCTACCATTTCAGGATATTATGTGTGTCGGTAAAAGTCTGTGTTGGCAAAAGCTAGTCAAAGCGCCTACACAACATGTGTTGGCAAAGGTTTTATCTGTTGGCAAAGGCTTCGCCGACTGCTGCAACGCCGACTATGCCATTATCTGTCGGCAAAGCCTTTCCCAACACATGCTCTATTGTTAATTCTGCGTTTCCCCTACATAATGGCGTGTTGGCAAAAGTGGGTCATGGTGTAGTGTTAATTATTGCATATTTTACAAATTTAAAAGAAACGTATCTGTAGGTAGTAATGGTGATTAATTAAATTATTATTTTATAGTTCAGATATCACAAATGTCAGCATTTCAACATTTCCAGTCCAACTACAATGACCATAGTCCATAGAGGGCATTTGTAAGGCTATAAATACATAGCCAGTATGCTCAGCCTTCATATCATAGCAAGCACAATCAGATATTGAAACAGTGTGCCATGGCCACCATACAAATTGTCCATATGAATCCAGGGCAAGGCGAAACAAGCTATGCTCGCAACTCTACAATTCAGGTATATGTGTACTTCTTTGCAATATACTTCGTTTGATTTGCTGGTCATATGAGTGTTGACTGATTTCTGAGTTACACATGCCTTTGAGGAGGACATCATAATTGAATTGTACTTGTACTTCTGATCTTCATGAAATGATCAAGGTTGGTTATCATATAATTGAAAAAAGATTGAAATCCTTGATTCCTGTTCTTATCATTTTTGTAGGTTTCAAGTATATCATATTTAATAAATAAGTTGATGTCAGTTGATTAAATATGCTAAAAAAAACAAAGACATCTGCTACTCCCTCCGTTTCACAATATAAATCATTCTATCATTTTCCACATTCATATTGATGTTAATGAATCTAGATAGATATATATGTCCAAATTCATTAACATCAATATGGATGTGGGAAATGCTAGAATGACTTACATTGTGAAACGGAGGAAGTAGAAAGTATTTTAAAAGCAGTTGCTAATATTTTGCGCTTTTGTTTCCAACCCTCTTTTGATGATTGCTTAGGAATAACTGTAACCTCTTATCGTGTACTCGTTGTTAGCTTATCACCAAAATTTAAATTTTAGAACTTAATTAATTTTGTAGTCTATTTTTCACCAATGGTTTTTAAACCGCTATGAACCATAGCTCAATGATCATAGCATACCTAAAGCTATTCTTGAAAACAATTTTGTTTGCTAGAAATAACAATAAATCAAATATCCAAAACTTTCCGCACGATGCCCAGGGAATTCCCCTCCCAGGTGGCAGTTTTGAGTATCTACGAACATTGTGAAATGGCAATTGTCTGCACCTTAATTGATTAATTTGGTTCTGATCACGGTTTTCACTTTTGGAAAATGGAAATCACCGAAGTATCCTGAATTTCGAAATTATTTGACAACATTACAAATTTTTACTCCATTTGAATAAATTTTGACCAAATTCATAAGAATTTTTGTAAAAAACGAAAATTTCAGCCGAGATAGTTACTTGCCGGGGAGGGGGTCCAAAATTTCCAAAATTGAACCGAAATTTCAACCCTTGGTTATCATCACAGCTGATTATATTTCTATGGCATTTACATGCACCCTTCAGTCAAAAATCAAAAGTGACCTCAGAACGAATAATACTTGTAGAAAACTGCCCAAGATAGGATGAAGCCTCTCATAGAGGAAGCCGTCACAGCCTTCTGCGGAGTATCTGTTCCCAAGAGCATGGCAATTGCGGACTTGGGCTGCTCATCTGGCCCGAACGCACTCACGCTCATTTCATCTACGGTCGATGCCATCCACCGTTATTGTATGGAATGCGCGCAGCCACCACCAGAAATGTGCCTTTTCCTCAACGATCTTCCATCCAATGACTTCAACTCCGTTGCGAAGAGTCTGGCCGAATTCAAGCACAGCCAGGATGTGTCCTCTCATCACGTCGTCGTCGCCAACATGGTACCTGGGTCATTCTATGAGAGGCTTTTCACTTCTGACTCAGTGCATTTCTTCTGCTCCTCCATCAGCTTGCAATGGTTATCAAAGGTAGGCATGCAACATTAGGTTGAGTTAATTGTATATATGCAGCCATATGGAATAATGGGGCAGCTGTTACTATCAATGTGCGTTTGTGAAAGCAGGCACCTGAAGAACTTGCCAAGAGAAAAATCCCAATGTATGATAGCGACGAGCGCTTGAGGCTGTTGAACCATGAAATTGTTGCCGACGCTTATGCTCGACAGTTTAGAAAGGATTTCACGCTATTCTTGTCCTTGAGGGCTCGAGAACTGGTTCTCGGAGGTCGGTTGATTTTCTCGCTGATCGGTAGATGTTCAAGCAACCCGGCCTCCGTGTCTACTCAAGTATGGAAAGTGGTATCTGTAGCCTTGAATGACATGGCATCGAGGGTAAGCAGCGTAAGCTTTAGCTTTTCAATCAATTAATTAATCTCTGTATCCTACATGGTTTATGCTTTGTTTAGTTTTATCCAGTTTAGATGAGACCAGAGTTTTTCTTTTCGGAAAGCGAGAAAATTTCGGTGGGCATTGAAATTTCGAAAATTTCAGATATTCTGAACGAGTTTTTTTTTAAAATTTTAATACATGTTTACTGAATTTGAATAAAGTATGACCAAATTCACATATATATGAAAAAAAATCGACAATTTCCCTGGATGAGACACATGCACGTACATGGCAAGCTTGAACAGCACCATTATGCACATGATTAACTCAGGGCCAAGCCCGAACCCAACAGAAGATTGAGTCCTGTCTCGCCCAGCAAAAAAGTTTAACACAGCAAGCTTGTCCGATCCGTAGTAAATTTTGATGCAAATCAATCTGCACATTATATTCTTGGGGCCTGGCCTGTCCATGCATGCTCAGGTCTATATAATAAGTAGATATGTACAAAAACTTCGTTAATATTTCTTTTGCAATATCACAGTTTTTATTTTTGTGTTTACTTGGGCGCAATTTGTTTACGTAACATGGCAGTTAATTAATAATTGTAATCAAGGCTCATTTCCAGGTTTACTGAAAATGGTTTTAACTTGCTGTAGGGTGTGATTAGCAAAGAGAAGTTCGACACATTCCACATACCTATCTATGCACCTATGGAAAATGAATTAAATGGGATAATTGAAGATGAGGGCTCATTTCAAATCAACAAGGCGATGGCCCACGATACTTTCCTTGCCACAGATGGAGTGTTGGCGAGTCCAAACACAATAGCTGCAATGGTAAGAGCGGTGTTCGAGCCAGCAATAGTGCAGCATTTTGGGTTCTCGGCGGGAATTATGGATGACTTTGCTAGTGTAGTGGAGCGACTCTCGACTACGAGTGCCGTTGAAGCTGAATTCCCATTAGCTTGCTTATGTTTTTCGCTCACCAGAGCACGTTGATTGTTGATACTGTATTGAGTTTATCATAACACATTTGGATCGATATGTTCTAGTCTCTACTACTTAGAAAATTGAAAACGTTTCCGTCGTCTGTAATAACGAAAAAAAGGAAAAAACATCAAAACAAAAAGAAAGATAATCCAATTCAATTTGTAGAAAAACCGTAAAGAAGGCCGAAAAAAAAAGCCCGATTCAATATTATCTCCTCTCCACATCCTACATCATCACAATCACAATCCAACCAAAAACAAAATCGCAATTCAAATCCAAATCGAAATTCTCACAAAATCATCCAAAATATGAAGAGATAGAGGAGATGAAGGGGCAAATGGGAGGCCGCCGCTTCTCAACCTCCTCCTCCGCCGACCCGCCGCTGCGCCGCTATATATGAAGCCAGGGAACCACGAACCACCGTTGTGCGGGGAGCCGCCGACTCGCCGGATCTGGCGAGCGGCGAGCCCGACGCTGCGCCGTGGAGCCGCCGACTCGCCATATCTGGCGAGGAGGAAGGCGGCGGCAGCACCCGACGAGGAGGGAATGAGCCGACAGTGGGGGGAGAGGGAGGGGGACTCGCCGGATCTGGCAAGGAGCGAGGCAGTGGCGGCACCCCGACGAGGAGGGAAGGAGCCGATAGTGGGGGTGGAGAGTGAGTGGGAGCGGCGCCGCCGATGGGGAGAGGGAAGGGGCGCCGCCGGTGGGGGAGGGGCAGCTCGCGGTGGGAGGAGGGGCATTGCTGGTGGGGGGGAGAGGAGGGACGCCGCCGGTGGGGGAGAGAAAGGCGGCCTACGGTGAGAGGAGGGGGAGGGGAAAATGATTTAGGTTTAGGGATTTTTTTTGCCCCGTCGGTTTTGATCAATTCGGAACCGATCTGAGCCGTTCGTTTGCCGTCCATCGAAACGAATGGCACAAATCGATCCGCGTCGGGCCATCCTCCTCGCCGAGCCGCACAATTGCTGGGCCACGCACGGTAGGGAGAGGAGGAGTACGGGGAGCATATTAGACTTCCTGTTGGGCCGAACTCTTTCTTGCGGACTGAGGTGGAGGGGAGGAGAAGAGAGGAAAGTGGTCTGGCTCGGTTGCGGGCTGAAGAATAAAATGGGCTGAAAATGGCCCAGAGAGAAAGGATGATTTTTATTTAAATAATTGCTAAAATAATATTTGTATTATCAAAATTAACAATTAAGCTCAGAAAATTCTAATAAAATTCCAAAGAGCGTAATTAATCATGTAGAATTTAATAAAACTAAATCCAACCATACCATTTTATTTCTCACACTACTTTACTTGTAAACTAATTTAATTATACACCTACCTACTTAAAAATACATAATGTAAATCTTTCTTATTTTTTCCTCAATTTTCTGTATTTACACTTCCCGTTATAACGCACGGGCTTTTTTCTAGTACATAATAATATATAAGCCTCCGTATCAACTAGGGAATCACACCATAATTTTTAATCATGGGCCATCATATTTAAGGGCAAGTACTATAATGCCCCATATATTGCCTCTAAAAATGCCACATTGGATTGAGTGATGAGGTGGAGGAGAGAAGTGAGGAGAGAGATGATGAGCCACCCTTAAATCAAGAGGCAACCTCCACACAATTTTCAAGAAGAAAGGTGTGAGAGTATTAGATATATTGATATTTGTGAACTACAGGTGATACATTGTATGAGTTACCTCTTACCTTATGAGTGAATAAAATAGATAAATTTGGATGTGGTAGTCACATCTACCATAACACTTCCCTAAGCCCCTAAGCTGACTCTAGTGACACTAATGATGTATGCTTGAAGGCATAATTATGACCAGGTGTAACCAACCAATCTCCTCTAGAGAAATTTGCCAGCTGGGAATGGGATGTATTGCGGCAGCCTTGTCATTGCATCCATGCTAAATTCCTTGACAGAGAGCATTCATGGTGTTCAAAGAAGAATCCATTCGATATTGAAAGAATGAATGGTTCAGCCATGTCGTCAAAATAAAGGGTTAACAAAAATTCAACAGAATATGCAAAAGTTATTATTTTCAAAAGTAGTAAATTATTCCATTAGCTTGCGGAGGCCAAACTAGGATATAACTATTACCTTGAGCAGTACACATCAGCCAGCACAAATGCAAACCGGCCAATTAAAGGACCAACAGAGAGCATGCCGTCTACCTTTAGAAGCAAACAACCAACTTTGGAAGAAAGGCCATGTTTAGATCCCACACAAAAATTTTACACCAGCCTTGTCACATCAAAGTTTTAACACTTGTATGAAGTATTAAATATAGTCTAAAAAATAACTAATTGCACAGATTGAGACTAATTTGCGAGACGAATCTTCTGAGCCTTAAAACTGGTGGAGAAACCATCTTTGATCGGTCTGACAAATTCCACAATAGTCCCGGATCCAAAAAGAACCGGGACTAAAGATTGTTTTTTGTCCCGGTTATAAAAATTTTGATCTTTAGTCCCGGTTGGTAGCCCCGGTTCGTGGCCTGTCAGAGGCATGTCGGGAGGCCGAGGATCTTTAGTCCCGGTTGGTACTAAAGATTACCACTTTAGTGCCGGTTGGTAACACTAAGGCCGAGGATCTTTACACCAACCATCAACCGGGACTAAAGATCTATCTTTAGTCCTGGTTAAAAACTCCAACTGGGAGTAAATATTTCTCTTCCACGTCTAATCGGTTAAGTCCCAGACCAGCTTCCTCCTCATATTCTCCTCCTATCTCCCACCTCATATTCTCCTCCTATCTCCCAGATCAGAGATCTAGCTACTTCATCTCCTCTCTTCCCCCTCCTTCCCTTTCTCCTCCTCCCCTCTACTCCTCACATCCGAGGGCCGGCGTCGGCGGGCGGCGGGGCCGCGACCCGCGCGGCGGCAGGCGGCAGGGGCTGCGCGCGACGCGGCGGCGCACGTCGGCGGCGGCCGGCGGGGCAGCGCGCGGCAGCCGTGACATGCTGCCGGCCCTTTTTTTTAATTTGTGATTTGAGAGATGTATAATTTCTTCTATTACAATTTATGATTCATTGCATAGATCTGAGATGTACAATCGATCTATGATACATTTCATTTGTGTGTAATTTGTTTAAGATTTGTGATGTTTTGTAAGATTTAGGATTTGTATTTGGGATGTGATTGATTTGGGGATTTGGGTATATGCATGTCACTCAGATTTGGGGATTTGGGGATTTGTTGTGTGATTTGGGTATATACATCCAACTTTATTTGGGAGAAAATAAAAAGAAAATGGGAACTGCCCTAGGACTACCTTATCGATCACAAACCGGGACTAAAGATCGATCTTTAGTCCCAGTTATTTCACCCGGGACTAAAAATAGCGATCTTTAGTCCCGGATTGGTAGTCCCGGTTTGAAAACCGGGACTACAGGGTGGTTACGAACCGGGACTAAAAAGCAACTCTTCACCAATGTAATTGCTCCATGATTTAACAATGTGGTGCTCCAGTAAACATTCGCTAATGACGGATTAATTAGGCTTAATAAAATTCGTCTCGTAGTTTACTGACGGATTCTGTAATTAGTTTTTTTATTAGTGCCCAAAAACCCTATGCAACATTGTTGGAATTAATAGATGGGCTAAGGCCCATTCGAAGATTAATTCTTTGGAAAATCACAAAAGCCCAGCTCATGGGATGGCATGCATGTGGAGTTTAGTACCACCTTGCTTATTCTAGAAGAGGGGGACCTCCTTAATAGGGAGGATGCCCACCTAGCCACTTGAAGCATGTGTGGTGGAGAGAAGAGGGGAAACACATGCGCGCTCGCTCGCCTGGCCTGGCAGGGCAGGGCAGGCGGCGCACGTGCACGACGTACGCATCGAATGGTCCGCAAAATTGGCTCCTCACCCTTGCGTAGATGCAGCCTTCTTTTGCAGTTTTGTTTTGCTGCGGGAAGTTCGGATTTGTTTTGTTTTGGAAATATTTCGAAAAATCCGGTGCGTGAAAACGGCGTGGAGTCCGGATAGGTTACGCACGACTTATCCAGTTCGGTTTACGCGGGCGCCCTGATCAGGCGACCTATCTCTATATAAACCGAGCCCCCGCCTTCACGCAACACACGCGAAATCAATCTAGGATTTGCCTCCTACTCTGTACTGCGTCTTCGCTCGTAGACTACTTCATCCCGCTCGCCGGCGTGCACCGGCGATCGGGAGAGCAGGTCTCCGGAACCTCTGCCTTCTACGTCCTGCACCGGGAGAAGGCGGCAATAAGGTTTTAGGGAAGCGCTTCGCGCGACTGCTCCCTGTTCGTCCGCGACGGCTCGCCTTCCTCTTCGCTCGCGTGCTTCGCGCCTTCGTCGACGCTAGCAACCGCGAGTAGTTCCTGCCGAGCAACCGGTCTTTCCGCCACCTCAATACATGTTCGACATGTTGCGCATATTTGATCTGTTCATGTTTTACTGCTTAGTTTACATGTGTGGATCTAATGATGCGTTCAATCTAGTTTACATCTGCAATGTCATGATTTATTTATGGAATAAATTAAATAATTATGTGCTTATAATTTCAACAATCCAAAAACCTTATTGTTGGCGCTGTGATTTTACTATGGCTGGTTTTGCCGATGCACTGAGGCCGGATAAATTCACCGGTGTGCACTTTAAGAGATGGCAGATCAGGGTCACTCTGTGGTTGACGGCTATGAAATGCTTCTGGGTGAGTACTGGCAAACCTGAAGGAATTCTTACTGTTGATCAGCAGAAGCAATTCGAGGAAGCCACTACTCTCTTTGTGGGATGCATTCTTAGCGTTGTTGGCGATCGTCTGGTCGAGGTGTATATGCATATGACCGACGCTAAGGAGTTGTGGGATGCACTGAATACTAAATTCGGTGCTACCGTTGCTAGCAATGATCTGTATATCATGGAGCAGTTTCATGACTACAAGATGGCTGACAACCGTTCTGTAGTCGAACAGGCTCATGAGATACAAACCATGGCTAATGAACTCGAACTCCTTAAATGTGTCTTACCCGACAAATTTGTGGCCGGTTGCATTATTGCGAAAGTACCTCCATCATGGAAAAGTTTCGGTACTGCACTCA